CGCCTCGCTCTCGGCGCGGAAGGCCTCCATGGACCTCGTTATCTCCGCCTTTCGAGCGTCGCTTACTGGGAGGGGCGATAATAACCGAGGGCGGGGGGGAGAGAACCCATACCCCCTGGCGCTGCGAAGAAATCACGACGGGAAGTTTTTCGCTATTTTCGGACTCCGAGGGGCCCTATCCGGGCCTCGGGGCCGTCAAGAAACGACTCGGGATGAAACACCTGTCCCGGGAAAGGGTCCAGCCCTCTGGGAATCGACGTTGCGACAAAGATCACGACGTCGGGGGCCTGGGGGAGGCGCATCTTTGACTGGCCCTGAAGGCCCTGTCAGGCCCTGGAGGGCCCCTGCCAGGGCCCGAGAAGGACCCCCCTTTTCTGCAGCCCTCGCTGCCCCCCCCCCCCATCATGTATCGCCCCCCCCCGTTGCGCGACGCCCAACCTTCTCCGCCGCGAGGCGCTCCACGTCCGCGCGGAACTCCATGGTCTTCCGCGTCATCTCCGCCTGCCGCGGCCGCGGAGCGCGCTCGGTGGCCGCTCCCCGCGTCCCGCCTCCTCCCGCCTCCTCCCGCTTCCGCCCCCCCCCCCGTTTCCCCCGCGCTCCTGCTGCTCGGGCCCCTGCTGCTGCTGCAGCTGTTCGTCCTCGTCCTCCTCCGTCCTCGTCCTCCTACCTCCCCTGCTCGTCCTCCTGCTAATCCGCTGCCTCCTCCTCCAGTGTACGCAACTCCCCATTTCCGATGGCGCATGACACGATGGTATTCGTTTTGGAGTTCCAGGTCCGCTATGACACGCGTCCGCGGGAGAAAAAACAGCGCCATGGGAATGGATGGGTGGGAGGGGTCGGATATCAAATGTTGCGACATGGCGCGAGCGCACCTAGCTTGTCTCCCTCCCCTCGCCCTCCCCCCGCCCCCTCCTGCAACCGCGACGCCGGCACCTGACACGTCTTAGGTCCGGTGTTCCACTGTGGCCGGGCGCGTGGGAGCGGGTCCGATCGGCCCAAGAGCCTGGCCTCCCTCTGCCGTTCCGCTGCTCGCAGTCTCCGTTGGATCAAGGGCGCTGCTGCAGAGCCCGCAACGGCGCGCACCGTGCATGTCCAACGCGCTGGAGGGTGAAGGAGGAGAAGGGGGAAAACAAGGATGAGGCATGAGGAGAAGGAAGAGAAGAAGGAGGAGGAGGAGGAGGAGGAGCACGAGGAGAACGAGGTGGAGGAGGAGGAGGAGGAGGAGGAGGAGGAGGAGGAGGAGAAGGAGGAGGAGGAGGAGGAGGAGGAGGAGGCAGCAGTGCATGGCCAGTTTGGCTCAAGGGAGCCAGCTGGGCAGGGCAGCCGCGCGACCCCCTCTGGCCATCACTTCTGTGAGCTCCTGCAGGAGCTATACAACGGTCGGATAGGGAAAACTGAGACCGCGCTTCCTCGTCTCTTTTTCGTCATGTCTTGGCGCTGCAGCAAGTGCATAAAGACGATCGCGAACAGCAAGTGGTTCTGCTCTTGCGGATCCAAGTGTGAAGAGTGTTTGCAGCCTGCGCCCACGCGCAAGCCCAGCCGTGGTCGTGGCATCAAGCCAGAGACAGCTCAAGTCTTGCGAGCTCAGCAGCTCGAGCTTGGCAGAATCGCAGCTCGTGCACTTCCAGCCTCACCCGAAACTGCGTACGCTCATCCCAAGTACAACGCGCCTCCTGAACCCTCAGATCTGCAGCCGCTCTTCCGTACGGAGACAAACACAAATCACGCCCCTCGCATCCTGATCAAGGCTTGCGAGGCCGCAGGCAGGAAGGACTACGCTGCCATTGAGGCGATGGCGGTCTACAAGTTCATGATCACGCAGCTCGAGCCCCTCGACAAGCGGATCGCTGCAGTCAAAATGAACCTCGAAAAGAAAGCCGCCAGGGTCACCGAGATCCAGAAGCGCGTCGATGACCTTCAGCAGGAAGCAGACACGATCAGCTACGTCATCGCCGAGCTCACCTACACCGTGGAACAGCTGCACCAGGAGAAGGACAAAGACGCGGACGTCGGCATGATGGACGCGCCCGTTGGTGCCCGCTCCCTCGGCACTGGCGCCAGCACCGTGCAGCCCCCCTCAGCAGGCGCAGCGCCCGGCCAGCAGCAGGCCTGGCGGCCGCGCTCGCACGGCCTGGTCAACGCCATCGCCTGCCCCTCCGCCACCGCAGCCGCAGCAGAGCACCACCGACAGCATGGGCATTGTTGCCCAGAGTGCCCAGCACATGCAGCAGCACATGGCGCAGCAAGATTTGACGACAGAGCAGAGACTCGACTACATTGTCCACAGCAACAACCGCCTCACCAGCCTCCAGGCCAGCCAGGAGGAGAGGCACCGACAGGCAGCGCAGCAGCTGCCTTTCGGCCAGCCCCAGCCTGCGCAGCTGCAAATCGTAGGCCTACAATACGAGGCCAGGCCACAAGGGGCACCAGTCATAGGAATGCCGACGCCGACATTCGGAGCAGCTCTACCTATGTCGCCACAGACGTTTGCTAGCTCGCCACTGGGTACGCAAAGGCAGGCGGCTGGACCCTCGGCGCCAGCACCCTCGACGCCGCCCCCTGCCCATGGCGAGCCGTTGGCATCGCAGTACCTGTCGCCGACGCAGTTTTGGGCAGTTCCACCCTCTCGGGAGATGCCCCTTGTCGACCCTGCCCTCGTAGCCGCCGCGCAGCCCACCATCCAGAGCGCCGAGGACGAGGAGATAATATCTGGTCCAAGCATGTGCTACAGCCCACCAACGCCGACGCCGTCCATCGCCTCATCACCGACAGCCACCATGCCAGCACCTCTGCCTTCCTCGAGCGCCGCTGCAGTCCCAACAAGTTCAGCCTCGAGCGTAGCTTCCGCAGCCCCAGCGTCAGCCGCCTCGGCTACGAGCCCCCATGCTCCGCTGGAAGCGCAGCCAGCGCAGCCGCCTGAGCAGAAAAAAGCCGAGGAGATGCCAATCCCAGATTCGCCAACGCGTGCTTCACAGCCCCCACCAGCTGCGGAGAAGCATGCTTCGACTACGGAAGGACTATCGCCGCCCAGGAAGGAGCCCAGAGACGATTTCCGCCTGACGCACGAGCTTGCCATCCAGGACGACAAGGGCCAGCTCCAGCCCCTCGAACCCCCGACGGGTCAACAGTGGTCGTTCCCTGGCGGCGAGGGCCAGCTCTAATCGCATCGTGGGGCCAAGCTGACTGCTTGGCCTACTAGGACAAGAACGATGGCAAATCCGAGCGCACCTCCAAATACGTCATGAATATCGATACGTGTAAATTCACAACCGTGCAAGAAACTGCTGGCAAATGCGACCATCGAGTGGCGAACCATAACGGCCTGCACCACCCGATCGCCACCAACGTGAACAGCCCAGAGATACCTAGTGCATTTGATACTGCAACATTGGGTCTTGGTCTTGATCGGTTCATACCCATGGTTCCCGTCGGCACGCTAAGCCCACCATCAACTTAGACACCTCCATACTCAGCCCCGCGAGGACTGTGGCTACACGGACTGCGCCCTGGGCGGCTCCACGCGCGTCCTCAGGGCCATGTTGCACCAATCTGCAACTCGGTTTAGACGTGACGTTCCACTGCCGTTGCAGGGCAGGCCACGGCACATGCAGCCACACACGGACGGCCCACTTAAACAAGTTCGCCAAGAGCTCTTGGGCCTGCACTGCTATAGCAACTGGGTAAGGTGGTTTGGTCTCCTATCGTGGATTTACCACTGTATACATATCTAACACTTCGGCTATCACGGTTGACCCTGCTGCTTGAAAGGATTCGGTTCAAACTATCACTCCTGTGGAGCTCTTGGAGGTACTACGGGCCTCCGTGTAAGTTCTTGTGTCCTATGCGCGACAACTTAATCACGCGCGCCCTACCTTCGCCAACTCTCAATTTTCTGCGACTCCCCGTCTGCCATCGGTGCTGCCACGGGGTGACACGCACCTGCTAGCAACGTCGAGCTCGGGGCACTCACGCATCTCGTTTTCCGCTTTGCCAAGTGGACCCACGGGGCCCCCTTAACACACGTAAAAGCCACTCGCACAACCCATGGAGCGAGTTGGCAGACACTGGTACGAAGTCGGAGGTTGCAAATGCGTCAATGGTTCAAGACGTTCTTATCCGCGAGCTGCACCGCACCCAGGCCATCGAGCGGTGCTGGACATCTTTTGCGACGCCGTCGGCGCTGGCCACATGCCCGTTCGCGTCTGACGACGCGGCGGCGCCCAGGTTTCACCATAACGAGGTCGAATGCACAAAGTCCCCTTTCTCCCAGCACCTCCTGGAGGAAAAGGTCAAGGCCACCGTTGGCTTCAATTTCAAGGTCATGTCGTATAACGTTTGCTCGGCAATGGATCGGGACCATATCTGGTCCGAGGATTACCTCCTCGCGGGCATCCAGGAGTCCCGAACCATTGCTGGTAAGAAGACCTCCAAGGGTTCATCATACTTTCCTCAGGGGCCCTTCAAAGCAATCTTGGGTGCGAGCTACGGGTGTCTGCCCAGGCTCCACATGTGCACATCGACAGGGCTCCTAAGAGCCTCACTCAGAAATACCTCGTGGGCTGCGCGAAGACCCCGGAAGGCTCCTCGCCAAGAGAGACGCGACCATGTGCTCCGTCGCTGTTGTGGTCTTGGACGCCCCTCGTGCTGAACGCGGTCAGCAGGCGCTCGCCATGTGGCGGGGTCAGGCTGCTCGCCTCGCCATGAAGCTACCCTGGGGTGGGCGCGTCAAGTGATGGGCGGAGACTACACGCCGGTCGGAAGTAGGTAAAGAAACATGAGGTAGGAAGGCGGATTAAGTTGATTGGGTCCAGGCCCTCCCAGAGAATAACACAACACAGCAGAAGCGTGCCGATTCTTGAAGTAGGAAGGCGCTTGAAATAGATTGGGATCTGGGAATCCAAAAATACCTACTTTCAACGACCGGCGTGGGCTGGGCCGAGACTACCACGCGCAAGCGCTGCTTGCGGATGCCGACGCGCGCATCGGGCAGATCCTATCCCGAGCCATGGGACCTCATGGCTTCCGCCAGGCAGAGGACACGAACGGAAAGCATTACCATGCCTGCATGTTGGAGACGGACCTTGCAGCCGTCAACGCAACGTCCAAGTAACTAGCGGAGAGGCCCTTCACGTGGCAGCGGCAAACAGGACATGAGCACCGCATCGATTACACCTGCATGTGTGACGCTTGGGCGCAGCGCGCACATTCACGCGCCGTCCTGCGCGACGCCGATGACGCGAGCAGCAATCCCGATCACTCCCCGCTGGCGTGCAGCATCATGGTCGATGGCCAGCAGCAGGCCGCCAGGCCCAGGCCCCAGCGCGACACCGAGGCCCTCGAGGTCCCCGGCGAGGCAACCCACGTCCTGGATCTAGTCCGCTGCGCTCCGCGAGTGCACGCTTCGGCGCGCGTGGGCGAGCACGTCGAGCACCTGCGCAAACGCTGCATGGAGCGCGCGCGCCTCGCCCAGCTAGGCCAGGACCCCGAGAACAACAAAAAGA